CTTGCGCTTCATGTTCTTGTACTCTTGGAAGTAGTTATTTGTCACAAAAAGCTTGAGAACTTGGATAGACATCCAAACTATTTTAACATTGTTTTTCCCCTCTACGCTCTAGCCGCATATGAATTTCAAGCATGCCTGTGAAATAGAGGTGATGTAAAACATGTAAGTAAACTCCCGTCTAAGAAAAATTCTGCCTAAAAATTCCCTCACCTCAAAATATATTTTGAAATTTTTTTCTTTTCAATGTTTTTTTCATGCACTGTGGATCTGAAACTTGTGGGAGGACACAGTTCTAATTAATTTCAAATTGGTTATTATCCATATCTTGCAACAGCTCCCCTCCTTCTGCATATTAGAGAGCACAATGCCTTTAGTTGCGTTCTGTCTTCTCCGCTTGGCTCTGTGTTGGTCTAAGATCTAACCTAAAGCTGAGAAGAGGTACACGTTTTTCATTTGGATACTCACACAGACTTGTATCTTACCTTTGCTATGAAGGATAACACTTCATGAACCATAAACAGATGTCCTTAATTTTTTTTACCGTTTGTAACACTTCTTGTAAAACTGAAGCTAGATCTTTGCAATAAAGCTTGTGAGAGTCTTAATGAATTTGTTTGCTCATCTTCAATGGATCTGGTTTGTTGAAGCATCTACTATAAGAAGTTATGATTTAAGGTATCTTGAACACATACCTATACTATGTGTACTGTCCCCAGTACTCACCAGCCTCATGTATGTACTTACTTTCAGGGTTTGCAGGGTGTTGGTCCACTCCATGGAACTTATCTGAGGTATAGCTGTAAGGAGTATGCTAGTAGCCTTATTTGCATTCCCTTTCAGTGTCTTTAAAACTTTATCCACTGAAACCTAGAAGTACAATAGAAGTGAGTGGTGTCTCTCAATTCTGATGGCACACATTTTAAATACCCAAATAAATTAATTTAACTCATACACCTTCAAGTGAAAAGGTGAAGCTTTACAATGTCACAATCTTTTTAGCCAGTAAAAACTTCTTTTCTCTGTCGATGTATGTCAGATTGTATTTTACACAAATAGGAGAACTAAAGCAAATACACTGTTTTGCACAGAGCTGCAAAAGAAAAAACACCGGACCAATTATGGGAAGATAAGCTCATACACAGAGCTCATGAGCTTCATATATACAGACCCAAATTCAGACAAGAGGAGACAAAAGGTTTGCAAGCAGTGAGGCAAGTTTTTGAAAATGAATGAGATAGCACCAATTGACTCTGTTTTTACTTTCACAATTGTTCATCCAGAATAACCCAGTGACACTGATGTAAGTAAGAACAGACTTAGTTTAATATGTGATCCCGCCTCAAAAGCTACAGGTTCTCATCCAGATCCCTCAGGACAGGGAATAAAAGTTCCACTCACTGCTTCTTCGTGTTCCTTCCAGCAGTCGTAATCCGTTGCCATGGCAATACTAGCATAACTCATTCCAGCTTCTTTCGCAAGAATCACTTCAGGCACTGTGGTCATGTTGATAACATCAGCACCCCAGCTGCGAAACATTAAGCTTTCTGCTCGAGAACTAAAACGTGGGCCTTCAATTGTGATCATTGTCCCCTTGGAATGACACTGGAGCCCAAGCTTCTTGGCAGTCTCAATAAGAACCTGCAAAACATGCCAACATCAGGAAAAGGAAATAATTCCCTATGCGCACTGCTTTTGCATCCCATCAAAAAACTTACATACAAAAGAAATGAACTTTATACAAAGCAGTGAAGCATCACATGGCTACAGCTGTTCAAAACCAAGGATCAGTTTCAGTTTCCTCATCCAGCAAGAGAAATCAATAGTCCTACTAACAGGAATGATCTTGAATTCTTTGATTTCGTATCAATTGGATTACTGTTTTCAATGCAGACCAAGATGACTGGAAAACAGCAAACTTTTGTGTGATACAGTCTGTGCTTATACTGAGAACAGAATGGTGAAAAAGCTCCACTCAGCACTACATCACCACATGGAGTAGTTCAGCTGGTGAGAACAGGAATACAAAACTTACTTTTTGAAAGTAAAACCTTACAAGTGCATACTTCAAAGAGTACCCCGGGAATCTGCAGAGAAATTATTACCACCTTTTCCCACACCTGTGACTTGAGCTGTACACTTTACATATACCACGGACTTCACACTAGTTTTTACAGTTCCAACCAGGACCTTGTATATGGAAGAATCACCATGACTTTTTCTCTTGGTAAATGGCCTGGGTAACACCAGTTGTTACAACAGGAGTAAGAATGTACCAGCATATGTAAATGGGACTAGGACACCTGTAACTGTCCTGAGTAGGAAGGGGAAAGTAACTATGATGACACCTGTTTAAAATTACCATCAACAGAAAATAAAAGCTTTAAAAAAAAGTATAAGAGCAGGATGAAAAAATGTGGCAGGACAGGAGAGACCCTCATAACACACTATATACCACTAGAAGCTGACCTGTCATCATTGTGACCTTCACACAGGTCAGGTGGAGCAGCCTCCCCTGCAAAACACTGTGAGAAAAGTAAGTGCAAAAGCCTGCACTCCAGTTGGTTGGTTAACCTGCCATACATGGGTGCAACAAGCAGCGATACCTCAAGTGCGCTGCCTGACTCTGTGGGGTGCCTCCTCACTGGCAGGTGGATCAGTGGATTGTGTGAAGCAGCACAAGTACATATGAAGCTGGAGTACCCACTTCTCTCACTGCAGATGCACGTTGACAGGTAAACCTGCACTCCCAGAAGAGGGTGGGTGTGCGGGTAACCCACATGTACTGGGGATGGGTATTTGTGCATGCAACTGCAGTACTGTGCATGTAGGGGTAAGGTAGAGCTTCTGGGGATTAGTCACAGAAGGACACTTAGAAATTTGTAGGTATTTACTAAGGTGTTTATGAACATGCTGTAAGTTAATATAATATTAATCACACCCAATATTGTGGTTTACTGCTGATATTTATTCTGAACATAAGATTCACTGATTGCCAGTTAAACTTTGTTAATAAATCAATAGATAACTTCAATTGTGATTTGACTTAAACCACAATTGAGCAGTATTTCCTTGAAACTCTTTACAAAGTTCCAACTTTACTCCTTACAAAATGTAGTGAGTACCAGATTCTGAAAGCAGTAATAACAAAGGCATCCTACGTTACTTGCAGTGAGAGAAAAGATAAAATCCTTTCAGATTCTCATTTAATTTACAGTGCTTAAGCAAATAAAACAGCATTTTCATGTATTCGCATAAATGCTATTTAACAGAAAGTTTTCAGATGTTTTCATGCATTACTCCTTAAACAGCCTATTACATTAACAGTTTTGGCTTTATTATTACTGTATTTATCTGTGAAATTCCCCTGAATTAGGATAATCTGGGCTGAAACGATTCCAAAAATTTTCAGAGATAGTTCCATGAAAAAAAGTTTAAGTCACTTTTATCTGGTATTTTCAAATGAAGTGAAAGTATCCCTTTCCAGTCTCACTAAGAGCTCAAAACCACATGTTCTTTAAAACTTCTGTTAGGCTGATTAGAAAACATAGGCTAATGAGATAATGATCACATGTGAGACTGGGAAGTACCTAAATATTTTTTCTGTGTTTGAAAAAGAGCATTTCTCTGTGGGCTTTTCAAAAAATGTAATACCCAAATTGCCTCTAGCTACTTCACAATCAAATGGAAAAACTAGCCTTGGTGTGTTTTCCTGCAATCTCAGGAAATGGCTTATGCATATCTGCTTACCTTCTGTAAAAATTAGACAGACACAGTGTGAACTACTGCCAGTCACTTCAGCAATAACACTGTTTTTAATCAATTTCAGAAAGTGTAAGGTTAGCTCTCAAACTCCTTTATCTGTTGTGACATGACATCATGCTCAAAGTCAGTAGTAACCAGATGCCAACTAACTTTTGGTAAGAGCATGTGGCTAGGCTCTTGTTGCATGAAAAATGCAAAGCATTTTTGTATAATTTGCTGCTCAGTGGAAGAAGGAGAAAGGCATGCACATGTATTATTCTAGTGGTTTGTTTCCTTACGAGATTTAAAATGCCTGTACTTCACTGCAAAACACCTTGATTTCCAGTGCACTGAAGTATTGTTCTACTAACATAGTTCTACTGTGGATCTGCTCGTGGGTATCTCAAAACCACACTGTGTCTGGCCAATTAACAAAAATAGCCTATGATGACACTGAAGCGAACTGGTAACAAGAGCAGAATAGCTCAGTAGCACAAATATTTGCACACGCTCTGGGTACAGATTGGGCCAGCTACTTCACAATCCAGCTTTGTCCTGCTCAGTGCAGTAACTGACTACACAGACAGCAAGTCTCTTAGGTGGATATGACTGATTCTGTAAGCATTTCTGTGCTCCTGGAGACCGTGGCTCCTTGTAGCTTCTGATCAGACCATTCCACAACAGCACAAATATGTGGTTCAACCTTCATCTTCCCTTTTCCTCTAAGAAAACCCTAAGGTGGCATATTTTATCACAGGTACACTCCTCCCAGAAGCTTATAAGGGTGTTGAAAAACAAAGCAGTGCTTCACACTGCTTAGTCTAAGTGTTTCTTGAAGCATGAAAATCTTGAAGTGACAAAACTAAGAGTGACAGCTAAGAATAAAAGGCTACTGTAATTTGGCTTGTTTCTACGTTTAACATCCTTTAAACTAAGTCTTGATTCTCCATCCCACCAACTGCTACAATGCACAAAAGCAGCACAAATGCAATATTGTAATTTCTGTGAATGCTAAAGTGCTATTCATTTAATTCTTTGTATTAAGTATGTAGAGTGCCTCTACCATAGGTACAGTTTTACTCAGAATAAAAAGGAATATTGTGTTCAGTTCTGGGCCCCTCAGTTCAAGAAGGACAGGGAGCTGCTTGAAAGAGTCCAGCACAGAGCCACAAAGATGGTGAAGGGGGTGGAATATCTCCCTTCTGATGAAAGGCTGAGGGAGCTGGGTCTCTTTAGCTTAGGCAAGAGGAGACTGAGGGGGGATCTCATTAACGTTTATAAATACGTAAAGGGCGAGTGTCAGGAGGATGAAGCCGGGCTCTTCTCAGTGATGGCCAATGACAGGACAAGGGGCAGCGGGTGCAAGCTGGAGCACAGGAGGTTCCACATTCACATAAGGAAAAACTTTTTCCCTGTGAGGGTGGCAGAGCCCTGGGACAGGCTGCCCAGAGAGGTTGTGGAGTCTCCTTCTCTGGAGACATTCAAAACCTGCCTGGACACGTTCCTGTGTGACCTACTCTAGGTGGTCCCGCTCTGGCAGGGGGTTGGACTAGATGATCTGATGAGGTCCCTCCCAACCTCAAACATTCTGTGATTCTGTGAACTAATTCCTAATTCTTTCTTTCTGCTTTGTCCACTTTGTTGCTCTCCTGCTTGTGAACTAATAAAGATCTTTCGACCTGTCATTAAGACCTGGGATGTCACTGTTCAGGCCCAGGCAGCAACTAAGCACCACGCGGCTGCTTGCTCAGTCCTCCTCCCCCTGGTGGGATGGGGAGGAGACTCGTAAGAAAAAGGTAAAACCTCATGGGGAGATAGGAACAGTTTAACAGGACAACACAAGGAGAGAAAAAGTAGTAGTAACAATAAAAACTAATAAAAAGAATGTATAAAGTAAATGATGCACAATGCAATTGCTCACCACTCTGTTCTCTAACTGCAATCCCCCCCCGCCCTTACCCCAGTTACATGCTGAGCATGGTATCTTTCCTCAGCTGTCCTGGCTGTGCCCCCTTCCCAGCTGCTTATGAAAATTAACTCTATCCCAGCCAAACCCAGGACACTGGGGAATCTATGTTGCAAACTAACATCTTCTGCATACCTCCCTTAGGAAGACAGCTCCTGTAGACACAAGATCTTTTACTCCCTGTGCCTTCCAAGTGTAACATTTTTCCTTAATACCATGACATATCTGAGAAACAGGAATAAAGAGGTGTAGATTACCTCTGTATTCTAAGACTGCATAATTAGACTACTATATCATGAACAAGTGCCATAAAAATAACATTTCTAAATACTATTAAAACTTCACTAACCTCTCTGGTTTTGGTGCAGAATGGCTCTGCCATTGGAATATGACATACTCCTGGAAGAGTGGAATGCTGCCCATCGTATAAAGTACAATGTCTTTTAGTTGTCCTAGAAAAGCAGAAGAGATGTTCAGAAAGAAAAGGGACAAGTCACATGAGAAAGCAAGATATTTACACAAATCCAAACCCATTGCATTCCTGGGAGGGAAGAAAAATATCAGTATATTACTGATCATCTGTAATCCTGTTTTGCCTCTGTACAAACCTTTCAGAAATGAGCTCAAGTGTAAAAAATTAGTGCGCTACTGCAGTAACGTCACTTAATTAGAGAAAATCTATTGTTAACAAGACACTGAAAAGCTGATTTGTTCCAAAATGACACGAACAGCCACATTATGTTGCGATTCTACCAAAAAGAATGAGCTAAATGTAGTAGCCAGGCAAGTAATCTCCAAAAAAAAGAGCACAGTAAGCTTTCAGGAAGGGAACGAATCAAGTCTGAATTATCACAAACCTAGTCAAAATAGAGCTTGTTCATATCATTGCATTCCTACATTGAAAGGATGGGAATTTATAGGAACAGCTTCCTGAACAAAAGAAATGTGAATTCAACCAGAAAAACCCTGGAACAGAACGTCTTCATATTCCCAGAAAGATTACACACATGCATTGGCAGCTTGCGAGCAGAAGAACCCTTTTTCTCCCTTCTTTCAATTGAGAAATTGTTTTTTTTTAATGGAAATGGTCAAACATGCTGCAGAAATTACCATCCAGCATGCCATTTTGACAACTTCTGGAACCATTACTCACTATTACTTTACCTTCAAATGCACTGCCTCAAGACAATTCAGCCAACCGGATGGTGAAAACCCTCTGGAACAAAAGTCTTTGAAACATTCCCTTCTTCCTCCCAGTGTGCCAAATTCAATCTACAGTTCAAATAAAAAATTTCTGCTGGTAATACTGCTCACAACAGTTCCCCACGCAAGTCACCAGCAAATATTTAAAAAAAAGGTTTTAAATACAAGTTACATGTTAGAGTAGATTTGGGGAAAAAAAAAAAAAAAAGAACCAATAGGGTAGCCTTAAGGATGGGATTACAAAACAGTAAAAGAGATGAGCAAATTAAAAACATGCAAAAGAGGATACACCTGTTAAGACAGGTTGAAACACTAATATTATTTTTTCCTTTAGGGGATACTGAAGAGCTGCAAATAGAATGTATCTGATTTTACACTTTCTTTCAGTACCTGCTAATGAATTATTTAGAATTGGAGGAAATGGGAAAAGTTGTAATCCATTTCCTGCATTATAGTATTTCAGATGTTGTTAGTCAGGCCCTTTCACTCAGAAAAGCCCTGAGCAAAGTTCACATATGTATAAATATTGACCTGTTACTTTCAGATACCCTATGTTCTTTAGAGAGAATGGCCACATCACCACATGCTCTAATAAAGAAATCCCACTATGTCTAGCACAGTACATACAAATTACATGGGAATAAATATCAACGGTAAGACCTGCGAGTGTTCTGAGCAATGGACACGGAACGCTGCAACTCTGCAAAGGCCACAGCTATTTGATACAGGGCCAGCTGATGGATCCACAACTGCTAGGCTTAGGGTGAGAATAAAGACAGATTTGAACCAATCTCTGATTCTTGCTGTCTATGAAGTAATGGCTGTCACAGAGGAATGCCTTTTAGCCTCTCCTCCTTTTGGTAGCCCTGCTACAGGAGTTGGCCATTCTGATCTGTCCCACTCATCTGTCCGCAAGGTACAGGGCAGCAGCACATAATTCTCACTGCTGCAATACCATTCCTCTGTATCCCTTGTAGTGAGAACGAAGGTTACAGAACCACGGGTGCTTTCCTTGCCTTACTCTCACAGAGACCAACAGCATGAGAGCAAATGACAGTATCCGCCTAAAGCTCATTATAGGAATTTCAAGACCCTCCCCATGTACCCTGAATGACTCCTTACAAAGCCAGCAAGAAATAAGAAGGAAGGAACTCAACAGCCACTCTTCAAAGACAATCTGCTCCTTGCAAGTTTCAAATGTGAAGAAGTCCATGTGCCTGCCATCAAAAGAAAAGCCTGCGTAACAACAGAGGAGACTGAAAGTTGTACAACTGCCTGATTGTTTACATTAAAACAGGAAGAAGTCACCAAGTGCCTGCCTAGAAACTAGCCAAGCTACTCATAGCAGAAGTGCACAATCCAGATGGATCAAGCACAGCACAAAGGGAAAGTACAGAGGTGCTCCCAGTGGGTGAGATCAGAAGCAGCACCTGAAAGCATTGGATAACCAACTGATACAATTACTGCCTACAGCTTTCTGTTCAATTCAAGCTCTTCTCCCATTCCCATTTACTATTCCAATAAACCACTGATAACCACAGGCAAGCAGCTAAGACTGAGGCTGCATAGCTCCTGCTGGCCATCTGACCCCTGTAGGGCTTTTCAGAGAACCCTGACCAGACCCTTGTGCTGCCTTTGTGACAAACAGGGGATGGTGGTACAGGAGAAAGGGAATTCTTTCCCTGGGAAAAAGGGTATATGTTTTTATGCATAACTGCTTATGCATCAAGCTCAAGGAGACAGTGGTGTTCATAGCACAAGCAAACCCTTGCACTGTTGCATAGTTTTGCCACACCTGCCTTGCCCTTACTGCTTTTTCAAATTCAAAACTACATGTACTGTAATTTTGAAGATGTCCCCAGAGTTTGTATTCTCCACCCTGCAGCAACAGCCACACTTTTAATCAGACAGTAAGGTGGCATTTGCTCCTTCATTTTTATTTTATCACAGTAACACAAGATTTTCTGGCAATGACTGACACTAGGAAGCAAAATCCAACTCAAATAAGTGAGCAAACCAATAATTTCCATCTATGACAAACGACTTTCACCATCACCTTCCCCTTTCGTCTAGTAGTGCTGAATTATCAACATGCTATTAGTAATTAAAGAACAAACTGAAAATTTACACTAGCATCTGCTGTACCAAAAGCAGTCTCATAATGCTCTGCCTCTTCAGGAACACTGAAACAAAATTTTCCCATGAAAAATTTTACAAAGTGTAACAATACTGTAATAATTGTAGTGGTGTATGTGACACAAAGAACTCAAACAGTAAAGCTGGCAGCTGTTACAGGATTTCTTTTATAAAGTTATTTTCTGCATCTTCCTGACTGAGCTGAGTCATCCAAGTAAGTAGTTACCTTCTTACTCTTTTCTTAGCAAACATCAGCAGCAAACCAAACAGAAAGTATTAAAAAGCCAGTCTGATCTAGCCAGTTGACCAACAGTGCTGTAATAAACTAAAAGAAGCCAAAGGCATAAAAAAAATTCTTTAGGCATTTGTTTCAAAGAAGAGAACAACTGTTGTAGCCCATAATAGTACCTGTGGTTACTTTTGGATTTGGAAGTAGGGAGAACACCACGCAAATATTCTGGTATTTATTTAAGAAAATGTGTCCTCTATTGTTTAAATAGATTAAGTGTGTGTATTTCAACAATTAAGTAGATTACACCCCTGTAAAAGGCAAAAATGCAGACATCACCTCCAAAGAACCAGCAGTCTAACACCCACTAGCAAAGATCATCAGGGAAAAGAGAAATCAAATTGTCAAATGAAACACACTGTTATGACTTGTCAGTTTTCTGAATTAAAGGGCAAGCTAGTAATGATTTCTTAATTCATATTACATGTTGTTTTCCACATTAAAACATACTCACATGCTTTTCTGAGAAGATTCTTGGTTTCCTGAAGCCATGAAACAAGACCCCACAAGTTCCCACTCTTCTACATCAAAATATAAACTTACTTGCCGGAATGAAACATTGCTCATATAGGGGTTACGCCATTACTACTGGTGACCATCTGAACAAACTTGAAGGTATTTATACACACTGATGAGATTCTCCTTAGCCTCCTCTTCTCCAGGCTGAATAGTCCCCACTCTCTCTGCCTTTCCTCATAGGAGAGATGCTCCAGTCCCTTCAGCATCTTTGTGGTCCTTTGCTGGACTCTCTCCAGTATGTCCATGTCCCTCCTGCACTCGGGAGTCCAGCACTGGACAGAGTATTCCAGGTGTGGCCTCACCAGTGCTGCACAGTGGGGAAGAAGGATCACCTCCCTTGACCTGCTGGCAACACCTCCACTAACACAGCCCAAGATACTATTTGCCACCTTTGTTGCAGTGTAAATGACCCCTGTCTTTCCACTCATCTTCACATCAGATAAATATACTGATTCGTTCCATAATTTTTTTTTTCCTTCTCAAATACAACATGTTCTTAAACCCCAAACTTAACCAAACCCATTATTACCTTTCCAGCTCAGAAGTTATGATGCAGACTGGCAAGTGCTGGGAAATTTAAAGCAGTGGAAGGAGATTAGTAGCTTAAAAATAAATTGTTAATTTTGAAAATGACATTTTGGATGAAGGATGGTCTCAGATTTCGTATCTGGGTTATATTCTGTATCCTGGCTGTTAATGTCTTTCTGCCTGACCTCCATACATCCACCCTTCATCCACAGCATATAAAAACTCTGCAATCATTCCAACTGTTTCTTCTTTAAAAATGCAGACTCTCTGGGCCAGAGGTTACTTCTTACCATGTGTGCAATTCACAGGTTAGCGTGTTTAGGCTCCCCTCACCTACCTAGGAGTCTGCTAGATCAAAATTACATCAAAATAACTGGTGCTTTACTTGCAATCATCCAAACCTCATATGCAGGTATGTTTAGTATCTTTTCTACATAAATCAATACCGATACTAAAATTACTCATTTCCAAGTACTGCTAGCAGAATAAGGATGATTATGATTTAACTTGTATAAACAAAGTGATCAGTCTAAATACTTTTAGACTTGAAAAAAAGAAAAAAAAAAGGCCATTGTCAGCAATACAGCTGCTCTCCACCCATAAATCAACTCTAGTATAACAGGAAGCAGTTTATATGGCGCTTGCTCCTGCAGGGTACTTAGTCATTTGGATACACTCAAAAAGTACTCTCTTACAAAAAAAACCATTTCAGTTACACACAAAAATGTAAGTCAGTCAAAACTTGAATTGCACTGCACTGCAGAGAACAAACCTAGGTATACATGTTCAGATGGCAATGAAATATTGCCAGCAGTTTTACAAAAACACAAAGAAGCTGCATAAACCATTCCAAACACTTAAAATTGGGTGGAACACCCAAATAAGAATTGAAGATATAGTACACCTATAAGTAATAATAACAAATTTAGCTCTTAAACTGTGCAACTGTATTTTTGAAATATTTGGCATAGCTGCTGAACTTTAAACGTAGCCTTCTCTTTTTCCCCTGTTTGAATGAATTTTTCTAAACATCAGATAATCAAGGAGAGGACTGGAAAAAATTTACTTCCTTATGATTCTTAGCAAATAAAAAAATGTTAGCTTCTACCCCTATTTTGAAACAACCTCCTCTCTTTTGCCACTGTGTTGTATTTGATCTCTCTTGTGTAAAGCCTCATTATTACGGCACATATTTTCCTGCCTGGCTGCTACTATGCTTTCTTGCACCTCTCTCTCTCATTTCAGATTCTTCTTAAAACGGCCTCTGCTCTTATCCATGTTCCTCCCCCACAACTGAGAATACGAGATCTCTTCAGAAGACTTTCCCAAGGATTTATACTTTAGTTCATTCGAGGCCCTACCTCAAAGCCTGGTATTTCTTCTATGTCTGTTAGAGCTGAACTTCTTGTAAGCTCTCTTCCCATCATGTCTTCTTGTAGGAATCTCACTTTTTGCTGTAAGAACTGAGGCTATCACATCATTCCACGAAATCTTAATTTAACATTAACATGTTATTATATGGTTTAACCCCACTTGTCCACCCACCCCAAACTAAGAACACAATTAAAAACAAATGTTACCCACCTGTCAATGAACTGGTCAATTATGACAAGATCACCAGGCTGTATTTCCTCTCGTAATGAACCACAGGCAGTAGTCACTAATACATGCGAACAATTTTCTTCTTTTAATGCCCAGATATTGGCAGGGTAATTGACATTCGACGGCATAATGGTATGATGCCTTCCATGTCTGCAAAGATACATGCTTCAAGAGAGTAAAATAAACCAGACTGAAATTACCTTCCTTCTCCCAGATAAAGAGAATTCCAGGAAATGTAATTTACCCAACAATACTGGAAGTGGAACTGATCGTTTCAGCAACTTCCACTGTAGCTTGTTTTGCTATCAAGGGTCTCTCTGTACTTAATTTAAGTAGTGGTGTAGTTTTCTTTTTAAATGCAAAATTTTTAAGTTCAAGGCTGTAATGAAAAGAATCCTGAAAATACAATCCAAATATATGTTAGCAGCCTCCAGAGTATAAAAATAATTTTTCTCTGGATTTTGTATGTCAGTTCCATAGATTGTGAAAACCCAGGTGCAGCAAATTAAATCTTTCATACACTACAACAAATTTGTAAGATTTACATACACCTCTACAAATTTTCTGCTCAGAAGTGCTGTTGTATTCTGCCACCCAGAAAAGAGCAGCACATCACAGGGAATTAAAACCAGAAAGAACACACTTTTCTAATATGTCACCTTCCCAAAGAAAACAGTAGAATCATCACATTTTTCTCTTTGCTCTTAAAATGATCTGACAGCTTTCATAAATCAGAACAATGACTACACACTGTTGCAGTGTATTTTTTCACCAAGACAGGAAATACTTAGTCTTATAAGCACAAGCTTTTGTGTTACCTCTGTCATCGCTACAGAGGTACATCACTCACACAATAATTAAACAGATTTGAAAATTGTTTTCAATCATGGAAGAGGAAAGGAGGAATTTCATTTCCGAATTTATTCTTTCACAGAGACCAAAAGGTCTTAAGAACTTGATCAACTGGGAACTGGGAGTTGCACACAACAGGACCAAGCACTGTCAGGCAGAATTCCCATGTTATCATTAGCACTTCTGATAAGCTACTAGGCATGTAGATTTATTGTTTAATGTTGCAGCTGTTGTCATAATCCTCTTCTAGAATGTACACGCTTTTCCTTTTTTTAAATCTGGCATTCATGAGCAACTCCGTTATTTTTCCCAAAACACACAGTGAAGCTGCAGGTACGTTAGCCTCAAAAGTAAATTCACAAGGGTCATATGTGAATGGTCATAAATCCCAGTAAGGATGTAAACCACAGCTGAGTTGTTCAGCCGTCTGTAGCTCAAGGCCTACTTTGATACAGCACAGCTATGCAATCTTGGCTTAGCATTTCATTTGAGAAAATAAGATAAATGTTGTCCAGGTGTAATAAAATACATGAGCAAAGTCCATGCAAGATAAGAAAAGTAAAACCTCAGACAGAAGTGTAACTGCAGAAATGGTAACAGCCAGCAGTTTAATGTAAAAATACTGGCATGAAAAGAATCGGGGCCCTGAGTGCACCACTGGATTGTAATTACCCTGACCAGCCTCACCCTGGGCCTCCACCCAAACACCCTGTGCCCATGAGCCCAGCTGCTCCTGACTCCAAGCTCAGGCCTCAGCCTTCACTCCTGGCCTGAGCTATGTCACAGGCATGCCTGTTCCCAGCCCTGTCTCCTGGATGGCCTTCAGACCTATGCTGTACTTCATCTCCAAACCTGTTTCTGGACAGACTTTGGACATATGCCGCACCCTTGTCTCCAATCTTGTCTCTAGCTCCATCTCCCACTGCTCCTGCCTGGACTCCTCGACCGGATCCTGGACTTGATTCATCATCTCAACTTGTCTGGGACTGCTGATGGACCTTGCCATCAGCACCTGGCTCTGCCCATAGTGTCCAGCTGCTGAGAACTGTGTTAGTATTCTTATGGTTAACCTAGTAACACAGGTTATCCACAGTTACATTAGTGTGAAATTTCCATGCACTCATCTGCAGATCCTGCTTCCAGAGTCTCTTCTGAGTATGGTATGAGATGTCTGAATAAAAATGACCCAGTGAAGGAGATCTACAGGAGATGCAGCCTCCAAAGAAATAAAGGTAACAGCCAGAGGACTTAATAATCAAAAGAAATGATTTGGAAGTCTGCAATGCTACCAGAGATATGGTTCACCTGGAAAGAGGCAATTTCCCAGTTTCACAAAGGAAATTTGCAAACATACGGAGCAGTTGGATTACTGTGGTTATTTGGCACCATGTACCTATCACCAGGGCAGGCAGCCTTCCAGGTTGCCATTCTTACTAGGGCAGCACACCCCACTGGATTTCTCTTTCCTAACTTAGATGGTATTTTTCATATTCTCAGTCCCTGCAGCATCAAATTTGTTCAGGAAAAACCCCAGACTTCTGCTGGACTTTGCTAGCCACTACAAATTGCAAAAAGTTCAGAGTAAAAATTCAGTTCACTTAACGTAAAAAGGAAAAAAAAAACTACTTTTGAGAATAGTTTAAGACACATAATATAAAATGGTCATTTACCTTGCCAACAGCACACAGTCCACATTTTTTATCTTTCCCAATATCAAAGCATCCGATGGCTACAAAACAAATAAGAATGAGTTACAGCTTGACAATCACATTAGAAATTTTAACTGCTATGATTTATGGATTTTAATGATAACGTGGACAAAAATAATATGGTAAGAGACAGTTTTATGGAGAGTTCCATGTTAAAAATAATCTTGGGAGCATTCAGAGCGGATTCAGAATGATGCTTTCTTTGAAGAACAGTTTTCATTCAACGATATGATAGTCACAAAAGGAAATACTAGTTACCACTGTAGTCTCACATTTTCTTCAGCTCAGCTCTGTAATTTGTTATGGTAGATTAGTAAAACAGGCTGGAACAGGAAGCTCAAACTTGACTCAGAAGGATTATCGCAATTTTTCTGTGTTCATACTAACATTAACATTGCAGCTCCTCACTTTAAGGTTTGAAATGGTAATATTTTCAAATACCTTGAGACAGTATTTCAAACAGTGCTACAAAAACATGAAAAGAGAAGCAGGTACATATTGCCTTTAATTTCACTAGCACATCTCACTCTCTCCTGTAAACTTTGGCTGGTTTTTGCTAAAGAGGTGCTGTTCCCTACTAAGAGGCCCCCCCCAACAGAAATCACATTTACTCTGTCCCTCTCCATAACACCCCCCATTCTCTTCTCTGTCCCCTTTCTACCATGGCCACCTACAGCACACTAGGGGTGTGAGGAGTTGTTCTAGACTCCTCCCAACCCACCCTTCACTCACCCCACCAGCTTCTGGATAAACTGCCTGTTCCCTGCTGCTGGGAGTCCCTCTTTTGGGAAGTGAACTGTGATACGACAGAGAACTTCTGGTACACTAGTGGCAGAAGCAGTGTTGTACTGGGTCAGCCCAGGGGCCACAGACAGCACGCACTCTCCTCACAGCCACACAATGAGAACATGCATTCCTCCTGACCAGTCAAAAAGGGAAGCTACAGCATTTTGGTTTTAGCTGTCCAGCTGGGGCACATGCCCTGCCTTGGAGATGGTCATATCACCCACACAGGGCAGCCCCCAAGTCATCGACTGCTACTAAAACCCAATTAACTGCTCCTGGGCTATATGCACCAGGGATCTGAAACATGCCATGCTTCTAGCTTCCTTTTTTCTTAAAAAATGTAAGGCCTGTGTTTCATTAGACACTAATCTGCATTTGTGCTGAACAACAGTGCAGTTGCATGTGGTGCTTCTCCTGTCCAAGCCAGAATCGCATGCATTTCACTTTCTGTTGCAGTGTAGAAAAAACTAAGTAAGCTGGAAGCGACTCTGTGCCAACCTCTCTTTCCATGCCCTGGGATTTAAAACTGAAATAGCTACTAATAAAATTACAATTTATTTACTGATCACAAGTTTGCAAGTTCCTGGAATGACTCACACATTTGCATTTAGACATGTTCTGTTGCCTGCTACTTGATAGAATTTTATTTGTATTTTAATGCTAGCTGCAAGATCTCAATTAGCATTTAGTTTTACAGCTGTTAATTCTATTACACACTTGAAAATTTGCAGAGATGTAGTATAAAGTAATATGCAAGTCCCACAATGTTGCATTTTAGCAATACTAATTTCTAATAAAACTAGCACTTCCTACTCCTATTGCACAGCTCCTTTGGTAAATTTTAATGTCAGATCTCTTCAAAGCATCATAATTCACTCAAACGGGTTTAAATTCTGCCAGACACAGACTTACCACTTCTTTTAAATAAAGTGAATGTTCCAGAAAATTTATTTTTAGAACTGAGGTGTATTCTGACTTCTCTGCCTAGTTGCCAAAGCATTTTGATGTTGCAACATTCTGTAACAATGAAGGTTCATTATAATTAGCATTTGGGGGTTTGGTTTTTGGGTTTGTTTTGTTTAGAGAGCACACATTTGCTGTGTGAAGTAATAAGCACGCAACTTTGCTCACAGCAGGATACAAAAATACTCTTAGAGGACTTCAGCCAAAAATCCTTGCCTCCTGTCAGAATGAAAAGTAAAGATCAGTAACTTGAAGACTGGACCCTTTGCTTTATAAGTGACAGACTCGAATTTATTGCAAGTGATAGATTCAAGTATATATCCATGTCCAAAAGACTCAGGGTAGAACAGCGTGATTTAACTGCTATTTGATATTCATCCCCACTGCAGAACTCCACTGAATTCTGGCATGCACTGCTGATTCAGCAAGAATGCAACAGCTTTGAAATCCAACAGGCTTCAAAATCTAGTTGCAGCAGCCAGGGTTTCCTTCCCTATCTATTGACATCCTAGTCACTTCTAAAGGCTTCAGGGAGACTGTGTAACAGGACTAGTTGTCTTCTTTACACAGATTTCCACAGAACACAATCAGGGCATCTTCTAGGTTCCCTGAATACCTTTCTTGCACATGATTGCCAGAAACATGGCAGAGAAAAAGAAAGATTTGGAACAAAGAATGCGCTGCTAAATAATGAACTGAGGGTTTAAGAAAAGAATTTGCAGATACTGCATCATGGGTCATTAAAAGAGAGGAAATAGGGATAAATCAGCACGTGTAAAGTTACAAAGAAGTGAAGGATATAGAACTTTCAAACTCTGCATTAACTATGTAACCATGCTAGTTATGTAGTTAACCATGTAGTGTAATGGTTCTGTTCTGCTCTTTCTCCCACAAGTTCTTTCCAGTGCTGTACCTCTCTATTACTATCTCAGCTGTAGTCAGGAGCTTTGAAATGCTGATAGAATAATAAAAATTTCCAATGGAACAATCCAAATTCAAAGATCTAATACAGAATTTTTGAAGCAGCATTTAATAAAAGGCTCTATAAAAAGTTCTCAAACATTAATAATTCATATACGTATTTAACTACTTCCCACTTTCACAAAATCCATGTCAGATATGTATTACTCAGTGTTGCAAACCAGAAAAGGAAGCAAAGAACCCTGGGCAGCTAACTCTAAATTATGACAGTAAGAAACAATTGAAATAATCCCCCTTGTCTGCAACATAAAAATACATGGACTATTGTTCCTGTGGTGCTTGCAGAATTCATTTTTTCCTGGTCTGATTTTCCTGATACAAGCATACAAAGCTCGTTTGCAAGGTGGAATCCACCCCTGCTTTGTTTGCCAGATAAATCTACAACCAAAAAAAAGAGGGGGGGTACCTAAAATAATTTTCTAGAACAGGAAGATATTTTCCTGCTTTGGGGAAAGGTGATTCAGAACCAAGTTCTCATCCAGAAAATAAAACAATGTAACTGAAAATAAATTCTGAACAAAGTTTTATCAGCACCTTCAAAATTCAATGATGAAGATGAATGCTGCTACAAGCAATTTTCTTATCCTGTGAGAGAACAATATTTTCCATACCTGGAGATGGAATGCCAAAGGATTTTAGGGCATTTTCCATAGAATACCAAATTTTTGATGCAAAGAAAATGGTGGAAGCGGACAAGAGAGAAAAGTAGTCTGGAATATTAACAGGTGTAAGCATATTTATTTTTTAAAAAACTAATGTACTACATTTTCAATACTATTACTAACATAATTTGAAGGATCATGGGAGGACCAATGTCAATATAGAGAACTGTAAAAATTCTCATACTAGTTTCCTTCAAACTTTTCCATATTTCACCTGAAAAAAATATCCCTACATTCCCTAACGATGTAAGTTTCGTTATTAAATGATTCTTATGACTCAAGAAGACTAAAGCAGAAGACAATTCAAAGAATCTACGAGAACAAAATATAAGCTATTATTCTGCTTCTACAAGTAAAGAAACAGCATTAAAGAAACATCTATTTTGGTGTTGTCAAATGTGCCAAGGAATGCCACCACCAGAAAGGTTTTCAGCTTAAAGTCTTTTGGTTATGTCTTTGTCAAGAAACTTAAGAATTAAAATCAAAATTTAAGGAAAGTAGAAGCATACACTTCACATTTTTACAGGATAGAATGAATTTGACATACTTTTTTTTTAACTATGCCTTGCATTTTCCTTTTGGCATTCAGACATTAATTTTCATTCCTCCTAGTTTTGCTTGAACTAGATAGGCTTGATCTTGCATCTCTAATTTTCTCAGCAATTAAAAGACCACAAAGTTCTGAACAGTTTATTTAGATTAAGCCCTTTACCTCTTGAAATTTCAGGCAGATAGATGTCCATTGATGTCACAGTTCTACGAAAAAGCATCTTCATGCTCAAAAAAATCTCCATTTGGTTTTATTTCAGTAACAATCAAGAACAAGACACACCTTTAGAAAAAAATACTAACATAAATCACAAACTTCTGAACTTTTCCAAGCACACTTAAGAAGTTCTCATTTGCCCTTTCGCATTCAGCAGTAGCTGTTTCTTCTCATCTCTGTTGTTCTAAAATTGAGACAAGCAGGATGTGTAACACCTCTTTCCTGAATCCTAAAAACTCTCAGCAACAAAATAAGCAAACATTGATCCTCCTAATGATACCAATTAAATTTGTGAGGTTTATTTCTGCTTCAATTGAATTCCATCAACTTGACCCATACAATGAACTTTATGCCACTGTAACTTTTGGTCCAAGCCCTGTGTATCTTACACTAAGGCTGATCCACCAGTTGCTCCATGAGGACAAAAACTGCATTCAAACACTGAAGCCCAATGTGATTCTACGCAGAAGTGAATCTACATGAAACAACCATCAGACAGACGTCTTGAGTTCTTAGGAATTCAGATTTACAGGCAGAAAGGAGAGAGACAGGCCAGCAGGGGTAAGAACAAAGGCTCGCTGTTTGGCCGCACTCCCTTTCACAGATACAACAGCCCCAAGCAGTTGCAGTTTTCCATCCAAGTCAGCTCAACAATCTCAGTTCAGCTCACCAAAGTATTGAGAATCCACGCTTGGGTTCCTACCATGACATCTCAGTTACACCCCTCCCAACACAGAGACAGAGTATTCACAAGCTTTTTAAACTGAGCCTATGCTAAATGCATAATACACAAGCTCAGACACAGCCAGTCCATTGAGCAAGGTTTCTCATAATCCACAACAGGCAACCAAGATTTATTTTCCCCTATCCACGTTGTATTCTGTGGAGAACACAGAAAAAAGACAATAGCTAAGCTGCTTCCTATATGAAATTAAAAAAAGCCTTCCACACTGACCAAAGGTGCAGGACTGAGGAAGCTTTTTCCACTCTCTTGTGTAGGAGCCATCCTGCACGTACTCCCCCTCTTCTCAGTAATATTAAATCCTGCTGTAGGACACCTTGCTCACTGCAGAATTTGGGCCACCCAAATCCTGTTGCATTGTGCAGCTGTGACAGAACAGCCCTCCAAATGCTGTGCTGCCACTATGCCCTTAAGTCCAACCTGACAGACCCCTATGAGGGAGGAGAAGAGTGTTTCATCCTTCCTGGATACAAAGGCTTCATTCAGCATCTGCTACAAGCACAGTGCTAATTTGCTTTATGAGCAGTCTCCAGACACAGAGATGCTGTGACCATCCATAACTCTCAAAAATAGGCAATGCAGTGGCAACTGGTTTGGTTTAGACAGTGGATTCTACTTCAGATCAATGCTGGCTACCATTTGGAGAGCAGGGTACAGAAAACGGAGGCAAGTTCCCTTCATTCTCTTACAGTTTGTTAACAGATTTTGAAGGATGGTGGAAAAAGCAAATGTATTTTTCTGATTACTTTTTCTCCTCTGTTAATCTTTATCTCCTTCCCCTTCTTGAATGGTGCTCACACAAACTCTGCTTGCTCTTTACAGTCTTACTTCACCCTTAAACCATTTTAAATGGAGGCATGGATTCAGTTTTTCAACCACACACCACAGTGCTGAGCTTTCTGGCAAGCTTCTACCCATAAAATAGCTCTTTCAACCACACACCAGATGGTTTATTATACATACACTAGCTTACACTGGTAGATTTCATAAGATACAACTCCAACGGCAAATACAAAATACCCAGACTCCCCTGGTCTTATGACATTACGGAATATCCAAGATCCAGTTCTCCTATGAACTTCCTGTGTCAACTAGAACCTCTCTCCCCCTTGACCTCCTGCCTAAAAAACTCTCTTTCATCCTTCGTCTTGCCCGTTCCTACCATAAATGCTTTGGGGCAGGAATCGTCCTTTGCAACACACATGGCACTGCATATAGAGCAACACCCCTAGCCTCCACTCCCTTCTGCTGAGGAAAACGGCTGAAGCAATGTGAAGGAGAGTTGGTCAACAATACCTGTGTCACACAAGCAGACTCAGAGCTTCATTTTCAGTCAGTTTCAAATTATGTGGTTATGACTGTAAGGAAAGCATTGCTATGAAAAGCATCATTCAGTGGTTACAGGGAAAATGGGGGGCCATATACCTCAAAGGACAGTTTTCTGCAATTTAGAAAGGTTCCTGGAATGATCTGACATGTACTACAGATCACACAACAGCAGAAATTTGAAAGAAAGGTTTATCCCTCTTGGCTGCAAATTCACAGAATCACAGAATGGAAGGGGGTGTAAGGGACCTTGAAAGATCATCTAGTCCAATCTCCCTGCCAGAGCAGGTTCACCTAAAGCAGGTCACACAGGAATGCATCCAGGCAGGTCTTGAACATCTCCAGGGAAGGAGACTCCACAACCTCCCTGGGCAGCCTGTTCCAGTGCTCTGCCACCCTCAGAGTAAAGTTTTTCCTCACGTTGAGGTGGAACTTCCTGTGCTCCAGTTTCTGTCCATCGCCCATTGTCCTGTCACTGAGCACCACTGAAAAGTGCCTGGCCCCATCCTCTTGACACCTGCCCTTTACATATTTATAAATCTTGATAAGATACCCTCTCAGTCTTCGCCCCAAGTCTCTCAGCCTTTCCTCATAAGAGAGATGCTCCAGTCCCCTCATCATCTTCATAGCCCTCTGCTGACTTCCTCAGTAGTTCCCTGTCCCTCTTGAATGGGGGGCCCAGAATTGGACACAGTACTCCAGGTCTGGCTTCACCAGGACAGATTAGAGGGGGAGGAGATCCTGCCTCGACTGGCTGGTCACACTCTTCTTAATGCACCCCAGGATACCATTGGCCTTCTTGGCCACAAGGGCACATGGCTGGCTCATGGTCAACTTTCTGTCCACCAGAACTCCCAGGTCCTCCTCTGCAGAGCTGCTCTCCAGCAAGTCAACCCCCAGCCTCTACTGGTGCATGAGGTTCCTCCCCAGGTGCGGGACCCTACACTTGCCCTTATTGAACCTCATGAAGTTCCTCCCTGCCCAGCTCTCCAGCTTGTCCAGGTCTTGCTGAATATCAGCACAGCCTTCGGGTGTGTCAGCCACTCCTCCCATTTTAGTACCAACAGCATGTTTTAGTTGTATATTTTAGCAAGTACTGCAATTGAATAAGACTGGACGCACGTACTGACCCCTGGGGAACACGACTAGTCACAGTCTTCCAACTAGACTCAGCACCACTGATCACAACTCTCTGAGCTCTGTCCTTCAGCCAGTTGCCGATCCACCACCTCAGTCCATTTGTCTAACCCACACTCCCTAAGCTTACCTATGAGGACGTGGTAGGAGATAGCATCAAAATCTTTGCTAAAGTCAAGGCAGACAACATCCACTGCTTTCCCCTTGTCCATCCAGCCAGTCATGCCATCATAGAAGGCTATCAGGTTGGTCAGGCAAGATTTCCTCTTGCTGAATCCATGCTGACTACTCCTGATAATCCTCTTTTCCTCCACCTGTTTAGAGATAACAGCCAGAAGGAGCTGTTCCATCACTTTTCCAGGGATGGAGGGGAGGCTGACTGGTCTGTAGTTCCCCAGATACTCCTTCTTGCCCTTTTTGTAGGCTAGAGTGACATTATCTTTCCTCCAGTCCTCAGGCACCTCTCCTGTCCTCCACGACCTGTCAAAGATGATGGAGAGCGGCTTAGCAGTAACATCTGCCAGCTCCCTCAGCACTCTTGGGTGCATCCCATTGGAGCCCATGGATTTGTGACTGTCCAGTTCAGCTAAGAGATCCCTAACCCATGCCCTTTTTGTAGGCTAGAGTGACATTATCTTTCCTCCAGTCCTCAGGCACCTCTCCTGTCCTCCACGACCTGTCAAAGATGATGGAGAGCGGCTTAGCAGTAACATCTGCCAGCTCCCTCAGCACTCTTGGGTGCATCCCATTGGAGCCCATGGATTTGTGACTGTCCAGTTCAGCTAAGAGATCCCTAACCCAATCCTCCTTGGCCAAGGGGCAGTCTTCCTTCCTCCAGACTTCCTCCCCTACTTCCAAGGTGTGGGATTCCTGAGGACCAGCCTTAGCAGTAAAGGCTGAGTCAAAGAAGGCATTCAGTAACTCCGCCTTCTCTGTAC